TCCCTGAAAGAGTGACCGCTGGCCTGGAGATGAGTGTAGACCGCAGAGTCCTGGCCTGATGATGTTGATCTTCTGTGCTGGGCCATCCTTTTGGCCAGTGGCTGGTTAGTTTCCCCGATGTAAGACTGATCACAGCCCTCCTGACACTGAACAGCATACACAATATTACTCTGTTTGTGCCTGGGGGACTGGATCTTTGGGATGAACCAGTCTTTGCCGTAATGTATTTTGGGGTTTAAAAGCCACTGGGACGTTATGTTTAGAAAATAAACGTCTCAGTTTCTCTGATACTCCCTCAACATACGGAATGACCACTGGTCTGGGTCTGGGTTCCTCCTTTTCACCTGATGGCTGACTGGAGTCCTGTTTGGGTTTCTTCTCTTCTTTCAGGAAGGCCCAGTTAGGATATCCACATTGCTCTAGAGCCTGTTTTGTGTAGGATTTCTCCTTCTGCCTGGCTCCTGAGTTAGTGGGGATGCTGTCTGCTCTGTGATACAGAGTCCTGATGATTCCTAACTTGTGCTCCGAAGGGTGATGGGAGTCAAACTGCAAATACTGGTCTGTGTGGGTGGGTTTGCGGTACACCTCGGTTTGCAAATGTCCTCTGAGTCTGAAACCTCACAGTCCAAGAAAGCCAACCTGCCATTTTTTACATCTTCTCGCGTGAACTTGATGTATTTATCCACAGAGTTGATGTGGTCAGTAAAATGTTGGACTTCCTGAGATTTAATTTTAACCCAGGTGTCGTCAACATACCTGAACCAATGACTTGGTGGTGTCCCTGAAAAGGACGTCAAGGCTCTCTTTTCCACCTCCTCCATGTACAGGTTGGCAACAATAGGAGAAACTGGAGACCCCATAGCACACCCATGTTTCTGCCTATAATATTGCTCCCCATATGTGAAGTAGGTTGACTGCAGGCACAGTTTCAAGAGTTGGCACAGTTGTTCTGTGGAAAGCGTGGTCCTGCTGCTCAGAGTGGTGTCTGATTTTAATTTTAAACTGACCACCTCTACTGCATCATCAACAGGAATGCACGTAAAGAGTGATGTGACATCAAAAGAGACCATTGTTTCATCAGTCTCCATGATGACATCCCTCACCTTATCCACAAAGTCCATGGTGTTCTGTATGTGGTGTTCTGAGCTGCCAACTAAAGGGATGAGTACAGACGCCAGATATTTGGAAACATTGTAAGTGACAGAGTTAATCATGCTAACAATTGGTCTTAAAGGTACACCTTGTTTGTGGATTTTAGGTAAACCATACAGACTAGGTGTGGCCTCCCCTGGGTACAGTCTGTGGTACAGAA